ATATATAATCAATAACTCAACATATTGTCAGTGTGAGTGTGATCGATTATTAATAATATATAATCAATAATTTAACATATTGTCAGTGTCAGTGTGATCGATTATTAATAATAATATATAATCAATAATTTAACATATTGTCAGTGTCAATGTGATCGATTATTAATAATATATAATCAATAATGTAACATTAACAGCTCTAACATCCTGATTAAATATATATTTTATTATTGTTTTGAATTAAACCTTCAACCTGTATTCACAGTAAACCAACAGCTGCAAACTGTAAAACACGACGACACGTCTCAGTAAAAGAAGTAAGTTCACATAAATTCATTAAATTAACAAACTGCAGTCGCTCATTCACAGGAATTAAACTCAGAAATAAAATGTTAAAGCAACTAAAGTGTTTATAATTCGCTTTAGTGGAAGAAAACTGAGTAAATTCAACTTCACGTTTGTATAAAGATGCATTTAAGTGACTTTAATCAGATAAATTCTGTTCACACATTTTAAATAAGTTTGGAGAAATGCTGCATATGAGATTAACTTTAATTAACTGAATGTAATTAATACAAATTAACTTAACCAGATATAAGAAAACATGTTTGTTTGGTTTAGACCTAAAAAAACTAACTTTTATTCAGTGAAAATTATATTTGTGATGTAAAAATAATCTAATAGTGAATCATATCTCACAACATCTGTGAAAATAATCAACATTTGTGATTAAAAAAAACATATTTATATAGAAAACATCATTACAGTCAACAACAAAACATATTTATATTAGTGTGTAACAATAAATACACAAACACATAAATAAAGATGAAAGTAGTTAAGAATTGACTGAATAATATGAAATTAATATAATTTATAGACAATAAAGAGAGACAGTATGTACAATATTTAAATAAAATGCTGCTTTAAAACTTATATATCAATAATAATATGATGTAAAACTATGGGACTACAATAGAAATACGTTTTTTTCTAACTTTTTTTAGTTATTCTATTCAGTATTTAACTTTTTTAATATATTTTATATGTGAATAAGATCATATCCTTTAAAAAGCTACTGTGTTATGTGTTGTTTAGTTGTTTAATTCTGCTTTAAAACTAATATATCAGTAATAACATGATGTAAAACTATATTACTATACTATATTTTGCACTACACAGTGGAAAAAAGTAACTTTTATAACTTTTTTTGAGTTATTCTCCATATTTTCAATGAATATTTAAGTATTTGTCTCTTTATTCTGACTTTATTTGTATACATTTCACATATTAAAAGAATAAAACCACATATATTAACCTTTAAGCTCATGATAATGTGTTATAATGTGTTTTTTTGCTGCTGTTTGTTGAATTAAACCGGAGTCTGCTCCGAGCGCGTCCTGCTACTAGTTTGTCCCTGTGAGCTCTCCGTACTTTCACATGACTCCCGCTGCGTGTGACTGACCCGCATTCTTCCGCAGACTCTCGCCCCGCAGCAGAGAGCCGATCACCGCACACACACCGACCTGCGGGGCTCGTTCCTGTCCGTTACCCGGTGACCGAGCGCTTCCTCCGGGGCTTTCCTCCGGGGCTTCCCGTCGGTGATGGCCGAGCTGCTGCCGCCGGACTCCGGACGGTAAGACCCGCTGAGTCCCGCTGAGTCCCGGTCCTCTCTCAGTCCGCCTCCTGCAGGGTCCAGATCCGGACTCCTGCTGGACCTGGACCCTGAAATAAAACCTCTGTTTGTTTGTTAAACCCTGCCGCTGAAATGGAGCCAAACATTGTTGTTGTTGTTGTTGTTATTGTTGTTTTTAAAGCAAACAAACAGACGCTAACAGCGTGCTGCCTTCAGGGTCAACTTTAATACAGGAATAAACCTTTAAAACCTGAATAAAAACAACCAACCGAAGATTTGAGCTCATTAACGGTTTAACACGAACTAAATAAAGATTATAATCCTTCATTTGTTCACAGTTATATCAGAAATTAACAACATGTGAGTTAAAATACACGTTTGTGCAGCACGTTGCTCAGTTTAAGAGACATTAATACATAAATATACATTAAAACTATCAGTTTTATCCATTATATGATCAATAAAGTGTCCTACACTACAATTTAAAGATAATTAATGTAAAAACTACTGAAAAACATACTTCTGAACACTTAAAATCCTTTAAAAAAGACTTTATTTCCAGTTTAAACGTAAAATATCATCAGAAATTAACAACACATTACATAAAATACTCTCTGTGTTCTGTTTGTTGTTGTTTATTGTTGTTTTCTTACTTTTTATTCTATATTTTAATGTTCACAAGGTGCCGTTTGTGTTCCTGGGACATAAATATACATTAAAACGTTCTGTTTAATACATTATATTATCAATATTATCTATTTTTTGTAATTATTGTGTGGCTCTTATTGGACATATTAGTTAAAATACACATTTAAGTCCCAACTGCAGCCTTCAGTGGAGTCCGCCATGTACCTACGGTAGCCCAGAACAGACAAAAACCAAACATTGGCTCTAAATAAGGACGTTTAAAGGTTAAAGTGACGCTGGCCCTTTAAAAAGAGCAAAACAACAGAAATGAATCTGTTTATGTGATTAAATAAAACATAAATCCTTTAATAAGAGAGAATAAAAGTAATAAAGATAAAGACAACAGCAGATAAAAGCAGGAAGTGATCTGCAAAATTATCTTTTTAGGCATTAAATGTAGTCGTTATTGTATTTATTGATCAATCAGTCGATCAGTTTCTCTTCTGATCAATCAAAACGTAAAAATATGTTCAGTTTATTGTCATAAAGGACAAGATAAACCACGAAATATTCACTTTTCAGCAGCTGAAATCAGAGAATTTTTATGTTTTTGTCTTAAACAAATGATCATCTATTAATCTGTCGATCAGTTTATTGATTAATCGATTAGTCGTTTGGTTCATAAAATGCTGAAAAACCCCAAAATATTCAGTTTATTGTCTCAAAAGACGAAAGAAACTAGAAAATATTCACATTTCAGGAGCTGAAATCAGATTCTGGATGTTTTTTCTTTAAAAAAAAGCCTCAAAAGCTATTGATCGATTATCAGATGATTAATTGATCTCTTAATGACAATTTTCTCTGTGTGTTTTATTTTAAAGGTGTACGTATTTCTTCCTGTACGATGGGTCGAAGGTCAAAGGCGAGGGCGACCCCACGAGGGAGGGGATCTGCTACTTCTACCCTGAAGAGGTTTGTACTGTCTGATATTGATCACTGATAACTGATATTGATCACCCAGTGTTCATTGTGTGTGTGTGTGTGTGTGTGTGTGTCAGACCCTGTTGGACCGACAGGAGTTGCTCTGCGGTCAGCTCGCCGGCGTCGGGCGCTGCGTCTCCGAGCTTTCCCTCTCTCCCGTCCGCGTCCTGCGGCTGCGACGCAACAAGTTCGCCATCCGCATGAAAGACGACTTCTTCTGGGTGAGTCCAACACGTTTCTGAGCGTATTGATCGCCGACTATCCATCAGTTTATTGACGACACCCGATTATATTCTACAAATATTTATCAATGAATCCAAACAGGGAACTCAACTCACCAGATTTTAATTATTTTTTAGCAGATTAGAGAGTTTTTATGATATTTTAGGAACTTTTTATACAATTATCTGTATATTTATTATTATTATTATTTATTTTAACAATCATAAATACTTTAATAAGCCGCTGTACTAATACATCTTGTGTTGTTTAAATATTAAATAATACTGTTATAAGTTATTTTAACTGAACTAAACAGTTTAAACTGTTTACATCAAAAAGGTTTAAGTTGCACAAACTCAATGTTTTCGATTAAATACTTTTTATTTGATATTTTTTTCACAATATAAATAAAAAATCAGTCAGTATCACTTAAATTTACTAAAACTACTTAATCAAGAATGCTTTTTAACTCAAATTTAGTTAAAATATTTAGTTTCAAATATATTTTTTAGTTAAATTAACTTCTAAACTGTAAAAATAACAATTAGTTTTCTTCCCACAAATAAACAATGTGTTTATATATAATATATCAGGCTTTGTGGTTCCCCCGTGAAGCTCTGGCGACTCCTCGCTGGGGTCCCGACCCTCATGTTGAACCACTGTTTTAAGGTGTGTGTGTGTGTTTGTTGTCGCAGGCTCTCGGCTGCTCGGTGGACGTCCCGATCGTCAGCGTCTGCGAACTCCTCGATCAGCTGATCGACCTTTTTACTTTCTACAACGGCTCCATCAGACAAAGTTACCAGGTAATAATAATGAATGTAAAATACACTGTATGACATTAACATACTGCCTATAATATACTGTAAATAAAACATTAGAACTTTATGTTTAAAGTCAAACTTGAACTTAGAAGTTGAAATTAACTAAAAAAAAGTTTTGCCAATTTATAATCTTTTGTTGAGATAATTTATTTAAATCTTTTTTTTACATAATAAAACATTCTGTATTTTAAGATTGTTTATTATTTGAAGGGTTGAAAACTTTAAATTATCAAATGTTTTATTATCAGATTTTTTTCCGTTTTCTCTGTTTATTTTTTACAGTGTAATCTTTAGATTAGATGTTTAAAGTAAAAGTTTTAAGAAACTTAAATGAGTTTTAACAATTTCTTAAATATTTTACGTTTTAGATACAAAATAAAGTGACACGCTGTATAAATGTGTTTGATTAATGAAGCTAACGTTCGCTGTATAAAGTTTTCAGTCTTTTAAATGTGTTTTTTGGGGGAAAGATTTGTATTGATCGTAGTGTAACGACTACAAAACAAAACCGATATGGAACCAGTACAGATTGTCCTTCAAGTATGGACGTAAAATAGGCTTAAATTTAACCTGCTGAAACCCTTTTTCTGTTGTGTCAGAGCCTGAAGATACTAAAACTACTAACCCTGAGCTAAAGCTGTTTCACCATAAATGTGTCACAACTTCCTGCCGCAATGTTTTTTTTTCACCACAGTTTCTTTTGCTGTTGTAGACGAACACAATAAGAACAAAAGTCACATAAAAAGAGAAATAATTCAATAACAAACCAGCAGATAATCCACTTTATTTCTCTCCTTTGTGTAATTTTTATGTGCAGCTCAACAGTCAGGAAGCGCTGGCCGCTCGCTGGGCTCAGTATCTCTCACACCTTCAGTCCGGATCCTCGGAGCTCCATCGGATCTTCAGCTGCCTGCGAACCATCGACTCCACCAACGTACGTAACGCCGAGTCACATCTGTACCGCCAAAGTTCAGCTTTTATTATCGGATATCTGAGTTAAAGTGAGTTTTATGATGTTGGGCCTCGTTCATCAATCAAACATCAATAATAACCTCATTATAATAACCTGACCCACGATGAAGATACAGGAAGAGAGGAGACATTGGGACTAATCTCTGTGCAGAAATACAATAAATGATTGTTTCTCCAGCCTCCGGTAACTTAAAACAAACAAATAAATAAACCAAATAAACAGACAGAAATCATAAAGAAGGAAAAACAGTGGAATTAAATAAATAAATAAAATGAATAAAGAAAAAAAGGAGCAATTAGTTTAGTTATCAGGGAGGAAGGAGGAGCTTCCTTTTACAATAAGCAGTAAATACAGTTGTAATAAGGAAAGGAAAGAAACAAAACAAAAACAACATCAGGTTATCTGAAGGATGACATCTTTTTTAATAACATAATATATAATATATAAACAGAACTTATGTAAGAGGACAGAATTCATCATTTTATTAAACAAGAAAGATCCAAACACAGCGTTGATATAAAGGTCCTTTATTGTTTTGAGTCCATTTAATAATCTTCCATTTTAATAACTAACATGTTCCCCTGTAGTTCTCACGTTATCTGTATGTATCGCC